GCTGGTTCTTCTGTCGGGGTAAGGGGCAAACCTCCAAAATCCCCTTACACCCCACTTGCCACAACCGAGAATGGCACCGACCCAACACACCTACTGGCTGACACAGGCTGCATGAGAGTACTGTACTAAGAGCACAAAACATGCAACCACATTTAAGCAGAATGGATAAAGGAACAGAGGATGCAAAAAAAAACCCAATTCACGCTATGTCAGCTCAGCCAAGTCTCTTCTTGGTGCCAGCTGCAGCCGGCCGTCAACCACGTGTAGAAAGGGGTGATCAGCTGGCACGGTATCCAGCCAGGCCAAGGGTGCCGCCTTGATGACTATGAAGTCAACCAACAACTCCCAATACCCAGCCACCGCCTCCTCCTTCTTCGTCTGCACCAGCCCATCAAGCTCCTGCTGTCGCTGCTGCTGAAGCTGTAGCTGCTGCTGCGTGCGAATTTGAGGGGTTACACGGTGTGCTCAAGGGGCTACGCTGCGCGCTCGATTGATTGAGGGTTAAATATAGCGCGCTTGAGGACAGTTACATGCGCGCAGCAAAGGAAGAAGAAGAGGGGTTACATGGTGTGCACAGGCGACTGCGTCGCAACGAACACCCGAAAAAAAAGAGAGCTGCTAGAAGTTCAGCGGAAAAACAGACTGTCACCCAAAAGAGGCCCACCCCGAGAAAGCCTCTGTGTGCGAGACATGACACGTGGCTCTGCAGGCAGAACCGTCAGACTCACAACATGCAGTGTAGAAATCTATTGGGACACGCAGCAGGACTAACCTACAACAGTGTCGGTGACAGCAGACCATACTTGTGCAGTATAACGGGCAGGCTGAACTCACCGGGACAAAGTTGGCCAATAAAGGTCAATACCTTGGCCCAAGGCAGCAGACCAGGGGGGAAGGAGCAGAGTACCAGGCAGCTGCTGCAGGGGCATTGCAACTGCATATTGCAGCAGCCGCACCACAAACAGCTCCTGCAGCGCAGGACCACCAGTCTCAGGCTTGACAGAAAGCAAACGGGCATAAATACACGCAGAATGGTGGCTATCACCGCCGTACCACACGCAGACCATTACCCCGCAACACAGTGTGCCAGGAGATAAACGGCTGCCGGGTCAACAGCTGGTTCTTGTACCGCTGCGGCACTCTGGCCGTAGCGGCAAAATCAGCAAGCGCATCCCAGAAAGCAGCAAGTGCCGCACGTACCGCCACCTGCTCCACCAGCACAGGCACCACAAGATTACTTGCCACAGCCCAGGCCGCTCTGCGGCCTTTTTCAAACGCATGTATAGATGCCAGGCAGACCATATCCCACATCAGTCGGTGCACATTGTGACGAGGGGAGCAAGCCAGCCACACCGCACGACACGGCAGGCTCTCACCTGCCGGCAACATGTTGAATGCTCTTAGCTGACCTTCAATTTCTTCACGCACAGCAACTGCAACAGGACACGTCCAGAAATGATGCTCCACACCCGGCACAGCAGCAGAGCACGCCGCGCATCCTGTGGCAGTCTGCATACGCTGAGCAGTAAGGAATGCATTCAGGGCCAGGCGCCATGCAGACTCTTTGTACACATTAGCCACCCTCACACACCACCACCGTGACAAAACCAGTTGCACCTGTGGCAACTGTGCGGCCACGGCCGGCAACCCATCTAGGGCTCCAACACTAGCAACAAAAGCTGCATGACGGGGAGCAATTGCTTCTAGCGCACGGAGGCTTTGCAGCTGCGTGGCAGTAGCGACAGTCAGGTCCTTCAATAATGCAACATCGTCAGCACCGCCACCTGGTCGCCGCCAGCCCAAGCTCGCACACATCGTCTCTCGCGCTGGCAAGAGGTCATCTGGGAGTAAAGAGGATAACTGCGCAATGGGCTCTCCCGCAGCAACAGCTGCGGCGAAATGCGCCTGCGCAGCAGTAACCCATGCAGCTGGCACCAATATCAGCAGGGCCTGCACATGCTGGCCGGCCAGCTGACGGTCACCAGACTGCGGTCTACTGCACAATCAAGGGCCCCATACCTCACGCTCATCAGGCTGAGCGCTGTGCCGAGAGCCCAGGGAGAGCACAAACTCGGTCCAGCTCTGCCAACAACACCACCGCCTGGCCCAGAGACTGCAGCTTCGGGAGCTGCAGCAGGCCAAACGCCACCGCATGCTCCAAGCCCATGGCGCGGGAGAGGCTTGTTACAGGGGAGGGAAGCGACACACCCGAGGGCGAGGCACTTGCCGCGCAGAGGAAGAAGAGGGGTTACATGGTGTGCACAGGCGACTGCGTCGCAACGAACACCCGAAAAAAAGAGAGCTGCTAGAAGTTCAGCGGAAAAACAGACTGTCACCCAAAAGAGGCCCACCCCGAGAAAGCCTCTGTGTGCGAGACATGACACGTGGCTTTGCAGGCAGAACCGTCAGACTCACCACACGCAGTGTAGAAATCTATTGGGACACGCAGCAGGACTAACCTAAAACAGTGTCGGTGACAGCAGACCATACTTGTGCAGTATAACGGGCGGGCTGAACTCACCGGGACAAAGGTGGCCATTAAAGGTCAATACCTTGGTCCGAGGCAGCAAACAAGGGGGGAAGGAGCAGAGTACCTGGCAGCTGCTGCAGGGGCAATGCAACTGCATATTGCAGCAGCCGCACCACAAACCGTACAGCTCCTGCAGCGCAGGACCACCAGTCTCAGGCTTGACAGAAAGCAAACGGGCATAAATACATGCAGAATGGTGGCTATCACCGCCGTACCACACGCAGACCATTACCCCGCAACACAGTGTGCCAGGAGATAAACGGCTGCCGGGTCAACAGCTGGTTCTTGTACCGCCGCGGCACTCTGGCCGTAGCGGCAAAATCAGCAAGCGCATCCCAAAAAGCACCAAGTGCCGCACGTACCGCCACCTGCTCCACCAGCACAGGCACCACAATATCACTTGCCACAGCCCAGGCCGCTCTGCGGCCTTTTTCAAACGCATGTATAGATGCCAGGCAGACCATATCCCACATCAGTCGGTGCACATTGTGATGAGGGGAGCAAGCCAGCCACACCGCACGACACGGCAGGCTCTCACCTGCCAGCAACATGTTGAATGCTCTTAGCTGACCTGCAACCTCTTCACGCACAGCAACTGCAACAGGACACGTCCAGAAATGGTGCTCCACACCCGGCACAGCAGCAGAGCACGCCGCGCATCCCGTGGCAGTCTGCATACGCTGAGCAGTAGGGAATGCATTCAGGGCCAGGCGCCATGCAGACTCTTTGTACACGTTAGCCACCCTCACACACCACCACCGTGACAAAACCAGTCGCACCGGTGGCAACTGTGCCACGGCCGGCAACGCATCCAAGGCTCTAACACTAGCAACAAAATCTGCATGACGGGGAGCAATTGCTTCTAACGCACGGAGGCTTTGCAGCTGCGTGGCAGTAGCGACAGTCAGGTCCTTCAATAACAGAACATCATTAGCACCGCCACCTGGTCGCCGCCAGCCCAAGCTCGCACACATCGTCTCCCGCGCTAGCAAGAGGTCATCTGGGAGTAAAGAAGATAACTGCGCAATGGGCGCACCCGCAGCAACAGCCGCGGTGAAACGCGCCCGCGCAGCAGTAACCCATGCAGCTGGCACCAATGTCAGCAGGGCCTGCACATGCTGGCGGGCCAGCTGACGGTCACCATACTGCGACCTACTGCACAACCAAGGGCCCCACACCTCACGCTCATAGGCTGAGCGCTGTGCCGAGAGCCCAGGGAGAGCACAAACTCGGTCCAGCTCTGCCAACAACACCACCGCCTGGCCCAGAGACTGCAGCTTCGGGAGCAACTGAGGATTGATTGAGGAGAGTTACATGGGTGTGCACGTCGGAAACGGAACACTTCGAGGACTGCAGCGCGCAGGACACGAGAATAAACCAGAAAAAGCCTCAGAGAAGCAATTTGCAGCTTCCTCACCCAAAATACCACAAACTCTGCGCAGAGAAAAAGCATCAGGACGGAACAAAGGGTGTCAACGTCAGCGAAACAGGAATGGAACATGCAGACATGGCAACAACTAGCAGGTACTGGGCACCTCGGTGCTCCTGCTTCAGGTGTTGAAGACAGTGTACAACATGATGATCAACATGATCAAAACTCTCTGCTACTAGGACGCGCACAAAGCAACAGCATAACCCGCAGCGCCGTGGCACCACAGGTACCTGCCACCCTACTGATGTGTCTGGCAAGGCCACACCCCTGGCAATGGCACCGGCCCAACACACCTACTGGCTGACACAGGCTGCATGAGAGTACTAACAGCACAAGACATGCAACCACATGTAGCAAAACGGATAAAAGAGCAGAGGATGCAAGAAATAACCCCAACTCATGCTATGACGCAGAGGCCAAGTCCCTTCTTGGTGCTAGCTGCAGCCGGCCGTCAACCATGCGTAAAAAGGGGTGATCAGCTGGCACAATATCCAGCCAGGTCAAGGGTGCCGCCTTTGATGACTATGAAGTCAACCAGCAGCTCCCAAAACCTAGCCACCGCCGCCTTCTTCTTCGTCTGCACCAGCTCATCAAGCTCCTGCTGTCGCCGCTGCTGAGGAAGAAGAAGAAGAGGGGTTACATGGTGTGCTGAGGTAAAGGTGTGCGGGTCCGGGATTTCAAGCACTGCAGTGCGCAGTACACGACCTTTGAATGGTCTACCCAGATTCCTCTCCTCTCCGGGTAAGGGGTAAACCACCGAAACCCCCTACCACTCGATTGGGCGGCAACGTGGGTGGGCCGCACCAATGAGCCGCTCCAGTGTTTTTGAGCGCTTTCGACTTCAGCGAGGTTCGAACCCGAGACCTCGAGATTAGGAGCCAGACTCTCTAACCACTGAGCCACGTGTTTAACGTCCCGCCGGACCTGAGGAGCAGCAGCAGCTTGGGGTCCAGCAGCTCCCACAGCAATGATGCTGCTCCTGCTGGCAGCATCAGCTGCGCCGTTGTCTGGCTGCTGCTGGTGATTTAAAAGCCCTATTAGCTCAGTTGGTTAGAGCGTGGTGCTAATAACGCCAAGGTCATCCGTTCGAGCCGGGTATGGGGCATATCACCTGTTTTACAACAATCTGCCATCTCTGCTCGCTCGTTGATCCTGTCGTCGTTCGCGCTTGCAGCTGCTGTCGACGGACCAGGCGCAGGGACCACTCACACGGACTCAACTCTTTTTCACTGCAGGCTGCCACAGAGTATGGTGCAAACTGGCCTAAGGCCTGGCACCACTGGGCGCTGTTCAACTGCGGGGTGCTGGAGGCGCTGCACAAGCGCGGGGAGGCTGCTGCGGCAGCACAGTATGTGGCACCGGCAGTCACCGGCTTCTTCCGCAGGTAAAGCTTTGAGCGGTAATATATGTATGACTGTGGGTGCAGCGCAATGTGTTTGAACATGCAGCACGGCGGCTGTGGCTTATTCCGTGCCCTTGATGCCGCACCTTGCTGCTGCTGCTGCTGCTGCTTCTGCTGCTCTGCAGTGTTGCCCTGGGCCAGGCAGCAGGCGACCGCACAGGCAACCTGCAGGACATCCTGCGGCTGCTGACGCTGTGGTTCACCTGGGGCAGCGCGCCCGACGTGGAGGCGGCCCTGCAGGAAGGGTTTGGCCTCGTCAGCATCGACACCTGGCTGGTGGTCATCCCGCAGATCATCGCACGCATCCACACCAACAACCCACAGGTGGGGTCGTGGGGCTGTGCACCAGCACTTTGTATGAGAGAATTGACAGTTGCTGTAAGGTTCGTGGTCAACCTCAGCGTGCTCTACCACCAGGCATCTGTTATACAGGTCTGCGACTGCGGGTGCTGCCGGCTCCCTCGGCCGGACGTATGACCGTGTCATGAGCGCAAACGGTGGCTGACCCTACAAGTTGTGTGTTTGTTGTTTGCTTGTGCTGCTGCAGGTCCGCAGCCTCATCCACAGCCTGCTGGTGCGCATCGGCCGGCACCACCCGCAAGCGCTGATGTACCCGCTCCTGGTGGCTGCCAAGAGCCAGAGCCCAAGCAGGCGGCAGGCTGCGTATGCGGTGCTGGACGTTGTGCGCACACACAGCGCCACACTGGTGGAACAGGCTCAGGTAAGTGGAGAAGGCAGTCCACAGTGTGTGTTGCTGTGGAATAACAGGTGTTGTGAAGTTATGTTACAAGGTGTTGTGCTTGATGTTGCAGATGCTGTGTCAGGGTGTGCAAGCACACATAGCGCAGCAGACAAGTAACAGTGGTGGAGAAGAGCATGGGATATGTGGTTGGTCATGGTGCATTCCGTTGCCACAATGTGACATGCGATGTGCCACTGCTCAGATCAGCCGTCATGTTCTCAGCCCTAGATGCTTGAGCAAAGTCCACACAAATTTGTAGAAGATTTCTTGGGGCTTTCTGTGCCCCAAGCACGGCAAGCTGTTGCAGAGCAGCTTGCAAAGGCAATGCTCATTGGCCGTCGTGGTGGCAATCAAATAATTGGGTCAGGAGCCGAACTTGGCGCCACCTGCTGCCATTGTTCTGATCTAAACCTTCCAAACGCGCAGCTCGTGAGCCAGGAGCTCATCCGCATCGCCATCTTGTGGCACGAGATGTGGCACGAGGCGCTGGAGGAGGCGTCCCGGCTGTACTTTGGCGAGTCCAATGTCGAGGCCATGCTGGGCGTGCTGCTGCCGCTGCATGAGCTCATGGAGAAGACAGGGCCCAGCACGCTGAAGGAGATCGCATTCGTACAGGTGGGCACGCAGCACCACTGCGACCACTCATCAGCACCGCTGCGATGCCAGTGGCTGCCGGCCTCAGCCTTCTGTTGAGTGCCGGTGGATCTGCACCAGCCGTTGCCGTGCATTGCAGGCCGTGCATGTGGCTCAGATTAACCTTGCAGGCCTCATGCAGGCAGTGACCCACAAGCCCATGCCGCAGACAGTCAAGGTTCACCTGGCCTTGCTTAGGTCTGCAGGCTGTGGCTGTTCCCTACAAGCAGTCTGTTCATCGACCTGGTTGCGCAGGTGTCCAGAAGTCGAGCACGGCGTATGAGTGGCTGTCAAAGTATCGGCTATCGCACCAGGAGTTGCGGAGCTGTAATCTTGTAACCCCATACACAGCTGCCAAACGGCACACCCCCTGTTTTGTGCTGCTGTTGCAGGCGTATGGGCGCGAGCTGAGTGAGGCGTACGAGTGGCTGTCCAAGTACCGGCTGTCGCGCAAGGAGGCTGAGCTGCACCAGGCATGGGACCTGTACTACCACGTGTTCAAGCGCATCAACAAGCAGCTGCACAGCCTCACAACCCTGGAGCTGCAGTACGTGGCGCCGGCCCTGGTGAGCGGCTGCTCGCCAGCAATGCACCCCTGTCTACTATCAAGCCAGCGGCGGGACTGGTGGGTGGATGTTGCATGTCACCCTTGGGGTTCATGCGCATTTCTATGCAGCTGCATGGCTGCCGGACGCTGCAGCTGCAGCACGCTGTGCCAGCGCTGGTGGGTCGCTCTGTGTGGGGTTGTGCATCGAAACAGTGTGTGAAACGCTGCCTGGCACCAGCCCTGGCTGAGCACGTGTAGGTCGACGTTGTTGGTACTAAAGATGAGCCTTGCTGTGGGTGTGAGATTGCATGCAGAGGGCGTTGGCTATGCTGTGCCCTGCAATGCCAAACACAAGGCTCAATCCACTGAGCCATTACTTGCTACTGTGCGTTCACCCCAGGTGCGTGCACAAGGCATGGAGCTGGCCGTACCCGGCACGTACATTGCGGGAGAGCCCTTGGTGACCATCGCAGCGTTGCGCCGCAGCTGCAGGTCATCAGCAGCAAGCAGCGCCCGCGCAAGCTGACCATCCATGGCGGCGACGGCGCCGAGTACATGTTCCTGCTGAAGGGGCACGAGGTGGGCTGAGGGTTGGGTGTGCACCAAGCTGGTGGTGTTTGAGGTTGCCCATGCCATGGTATGGTGGTGTTGGTGAATGCTGTGGTCGACGCAATCACACACAGGCAGTGCATCTGGAGCTGCAGCGGATGTGACGCACACACATGTCGTCGCTGGCGCATGCTGGATCATTCCGTGTTGTCGTGTGACAGCTTGCACCAACTTGAGACAGTGACAACCTTGTCTGGCCCCGTCCACCCCAATCTCCAACGCATGCACCCACTGCGGGATACCACACTCACCGGCGCCACGCCCGCCACACGCCACGCCACGCCGCCACCCTCACTGCAGGACCTGCGCCAGGACGAGCGCGTCATGCAGCTCTTTGGCCTGGTCAACTCCATGCTCTGCGCGGAGCGCAGCACCGCGGAGCGCGACCTGTCCATCGCGCGCTACGCCGTCATCCCGCTCAGCCCCAACAGCGGCCTCATCGGATGGGTGCCCAACTGCGACACGCTGCATGCGCTGATCCGGTGAGAGGACTCGGTTGCTTGTGCAGGCTTCTGCACTGCAGGCAGCTTTCGAATTGTGCGTCCCCTGCCTTTCATGCGCTCGCTCGTCAGTGATAAAACTTTCATTGTAATGCGTTCAGTGTTGCGGTAGGCGAGTTGTGCAGCTTGTGATGATGTGTGTTGCTGCAGTACGCTGTTTGCTGTTGCATGCGGTGTTCCGGCGAGGCGCGCGGCCAGCTGTGCAAGGGTTCAGTACTGCAAGGGCGCGCTGCCCCGCGCACGTGATGTGTGATGCTGCTGTATGCCTTTGATGTAGTCTGCTTTGCAGTCATTTGCGCCGCGGTCACTGACCTTCGCACAAACGATTGTCTGCCTCGCACACAAAAATGACACCGTAGGAGCTTCAACAAACCCCAACTGGCTGCGCACTTGGCCATTCATGCCTTCACCCTGCCAACCGGCTCAGCTGCAACACGCAGCACCCTTCGTCCCGCCTCCAACATTTCCCCGTTGTCTCTGCTGTTCCTCTCGCCAATCCAAGCCGGCTGAGTCCTTGATTGTTGTGTTGTGCTGCAGCGAGTACCGTGAGAGCCGCAAGATCCCGCTCAACTGGGAGCACCGGCTGATGCTGGGCATGGCGCCGGACTACGACCACCTGCCCGTGATCAACAAGGTGGAGGTGTTTGAGTACGCGCTGGACTCGACCAGCGGCGAGGACCTGCACAAGGCGAGCTGCGCGGCGCACCGGAGATGTTTCCTTGTTTGCTCGTTCAGGGTTTCTAGAGCAGGCGGGCCTGCTGCTGCCTGCCGCAGCAGGGGCTGTGATGCTTTGCCTTGATTGTTGCTTTCGGTTGGGTTGAGGAGGGAGAGAGACGCATCATGATGACATGCGTTGACGCAAACAGCCGGGGCTGAGGCAGCTGTGGTGTGTGTGTGTGCAAGGAACACACAGTGGCTGGGGCTGGCGTGCTGACGGCTGCTCGCGTGTGCGGTCATCTGCAACACGCAAGGATGGCCCTGCTGCTGGTTGATCGCGCTGGTGCGCCAGCGTCCAGCACCTGCACGCACTGGCTTGTTGCTGTGCAGGTGCTGTGGCTCAAGAGCCGCAACAGCGAGATCTGGCTGGACCGCCGCACCACCTACACGCGCAGCACGGCCGTGATGAGCATGGTGGGGTACCTGCTGGGGCTGGGCGACCGCCACCCGAGCAACCTCATGCTGGACCGGTACAGCGGCAAGCTGCTGCACATAGACTTTGGCGACTGCTTCGAGGCCAGCATGAACAGGGACAAGTTCCCCGAAAAGGTGAGGGGTTGTGAAACATTTTCACACACCATGGAATATGTTACATGTTCTATGGTGTCTGTTATGTTGGCGTGACAGTCGTCATGAAGACTTGCTTGATGCTGTCGGGCTCTGCAAGGCGTGACGTGCAAGCTGGGCAGCATGAGACTCCTGCTTCACATGCAAGCCACCCTTTACGTCTCTATGTGCTGGCATCCGATTGATCCTGTGGCAGCCGCGCAGTGTGAATTATGCCTAGCTATGATCACTGCTGCGCAACCGGCGCCGCAATTGATCGACTCATGTTTGGCCCGTCTATGTTCGGCGACTCAAGTTCATTATGTTGCGTGCACGCACGCGCCCTCTCACCCGCCGGGCACGCTGAGGCTGCTGTGCATGGCGCCGCCGCTGCTGCTGCTGCTGCTGC